TTGTTGTATCCCTTTGGTATCAAGGCAATACTGGCTTCTCCCTACTAGAATGAGTTAGGGAGGATTCCTTTCTTCTCTAAGTTATGGAACAATTTCTGTAGGACAGATACCAGTTCATCTTTGTAGGCCTGGTAGAACTCAGCTGTGAATCTGTTTAGTCTGGGGCTTTTTGTTGTTGTTGGTGGTGGTGGTAGATTTTATATTATCACCTCAATCTTCACTGTTTGTTATTGATCATTTCAGGATTTCTACTTCTTCCTGATTCAGGCTTGGGAGGGTGTGGGTTCCAGGAATTTAACCATTTCCTCTACCTTTTCTAGTTTGTATGAGTAGAGGTTTTAGTAGTATTCATGCATAATAGTTTGTATTTCTGTGGTACCAATTGCAATGTTTCCTTTTTCATTTCTGATTGAGGTTATTTGAGTTCTTTCTTTTCAATTTCTGGATTATCAGGCTAGTAAGTGATCTCTCAATTTCATTTATATTTTCAAAGAACCAACTTTTTGTTTGGTTTATTTTTGTTTGTTTGTTTGGTTGGTTTGTTTATTTGTTTCCATTTCATTTAGTTCTGTTCTAAACTTTGTTGCTTGTTTTCTTCTGGTGGCTTGGGTTTCATTTGTTCTTCTTTTTCTAGTTCCTTGAGATGTGACATCAAATTCATAATTTGTGATCTTTCTGCCTTTTTGATATAATCATTTAAAGCTGTGAACTTTACCTTTAGCACTTCCTGCACTCTATCCCATAGATTTTGAAAGCTTATTTCCTCTTTGTCATTTAGTTTGAAGAATCTTTTGATTTCCATCTTAATTTCATTATTGACCCAAGAATGGATCATTAAGCAGGAGGTTGTTTAATTTCCATGACTTTGTGTGGATTTGAGAGTTTTGCTTGGAATTGATTTCTAGTTTCATTCCACCATGGTATGAGAAGATACATGGCATGGCTTCAATTTTTCTGAATTTGCTTAGACTTGTTTTGTGGCCTTTGGAAAATACCTCATTTGCTGATGAGAAGAATGTATATTCTGTAGTTTTTGATAGAGGGTTCTATAAATGTCTGTTAGGTCTATTTTTTCTAGAGTCTTATTTAAGAACAATATTTCTTGGTTGATTTTCTGCTTTCATGATCTGTCCAGTTTTGTCAGTCAGTGGGATGTTGAAGTCCCTGGTGATTATGATGTTACTGTTTATTTCCTTGCTTAGATGTAGTAGAACTTCTTTTATGAACCTGAGAGCTCCTGTGTTAGGTGCATATATATTTAGGATTATTATGTCTTCTTGCTGCATTGCCCCCTTTATCATTATGTAATGACCATCTTTATCTTTTAAAAAATGTTGATTTAAAGTCAATTTTATCTGATATTAGAATGACTATGCCTGCTCATTTTTGGTTTTAATTTTTGTGGAATGTTTCTTCCATCCCTTTACCTTAAGTCCGTGCAAGTCCTTGTAAGTTAGATGGGTTTCCTGGAGACAGCATATATTTGGGCTATGCTTTTTCACCCATTCAGCCATTTAATGTCTTTTATTCATTAAGCATAAAGAAGCATTAAGACCATTCATGTTCAGTATTAGCACTGATATGTGGGATATTGTTCTGTTCAGTGTGTTGAATAATATCTTGCTGTATTGTTTTCCCTACTGTGCTATTGTTTTATAAGAATTGTGAGCTTTAACTTTCAGGTGTTTTTGCATGGTGTGTATCTATTGTCCCATTCCATGTCTAGTGCACTTTTGAGTGTTTCCTAGGGCAGGTTTATTAGTGAAAAATCCCCTTAGTGTTTCCTTGTCTAGAAAAGTCTTTGTTTTTTCATCATTTATGAAACAAAATTCTTGGCTGGCAATTGTTCTGTTTAAGAAGACTTTTAATGGGACCCAAACCCCTTCTGGCTTATCCCTTCTCCATTGAGAAGTCTACTGTTAGCCTGATGGGTTTTCCTTTGTAGGATAGTTTTGGCTTTCATCTTGCTGCTTGTAGAATTTTGTCCTTCATTTTTACTTTGGCCAAGCTGATGATTATGTGTCTTGGAGATGTCCTGTTTGCTATGAATTTTCCCAGAGTTTGATGATCATCGTATACCTGGATATCTGAGTCTCTGGTAATACCAAGGAAGTTTTTCTGAATAATTTATTTGAGTAGATTTTCAATGCTTTTTGATTTTTCTTCTTCTCCCTAAAGGATACCTATTATTCATATATTGACTTGCTTTACATAATTCCATATTTCTCTGAGTGATTGTTCATTCAGATTTTTTTTTTCTACATCTTGGACTGAGGAGGTTAGTTTGAAAGCCTTGTCTTCAAGCTCTGAGATTCTTTTTTCTGCTTGGCCTAGACTGCTGTTAAAGCTTTCTGCTGTATTTTAAAATTACCTAAATGATTCTTTCATTTCTTTAAGTTCTGCTATATCCTTTCTTATATTGTCTATCTCTGTAGTGACTTTTTCATTCATATCCTGAAATATTTTTTTTTATTTTCATTGTTTTGGCTTTCAATTTTCTCTTCAATTCCACACATCTTATGGGCTTTCCATATTCTGAATTCCATTTCTGACATTGACAATTTCCTTTTGGTTTGGGTCTGTTGCTGTAGTCTATTGTGATCCTTTGATGGTGTCTAACTAGCTTCTTTTTTCAAGTTGCCAGACTTCTTTTGCTAGCTTCTTCTCATCTGAAACCTCTTCTCTCAGGTCAAGGTAGATAGGTTTGCAGTACACCTGCTTTCCTTTGCTGGTAGCTCTCCTATTTAGTGAGAATAAAGAGAGATTCTGTTCTGTGTTGTTCTGTTCTTCCGTGGTTATCATAGTCCAAATCAGTGCTGGAGGATCTTCATGTGGTGTGGTGGATTGGTTCCCATGTCATTGTTGGAAGTTTGAGGGTGGTGCTGGGTGAGTCCTTCTCTGCAGAGGTAGGGGGATTGCTCTGCCCGGTCTCCATGCAGCAGTGGCAGCACCTGCTAAGTGATGCTATCTAGGCAATAGTCTCAAGTGTCAGGGCTGCATGTATTCACTCCACTTAGGTCTAGGTGTAATGGTAGCACATGGCAGTGAGTGGCTCATGGCTAGCGAGTCTACGGTGGAGCACTGGACCACTGTCATGGCATTGGGTGGGTCTGTGGGATGGGAGTATGGTCCACTGGGCAGTGCACAGTGTCACAGGGGCATGGATCTCTGTGTGGCATGCAGGGCTTGGTTTCACGGCCCACCAAATGGGCATGAGTCCACAAAGGCATGGCCCACCACATGGCAGGTTCTGTTGGGTGAGGGAGGGGGCCAGGAGACTTGTCCTGCCAGTGGGCATGTGGGGCCCACAGGGTCTGGGCTGCCAGACAGCTGGGGCTCTCTCCACATGCATGTCCTGCTGCAGCTTTTACCATGGGACCTCTCAGGTGGTGTCAGTGCCTGCTCCTTTTGAATTCCCTGGTGGGTGGGGTGTTCAGCTCCCAGTCTCTGGACATGTGAGAGCATCTGTTCTCCCTGTTCTCCCCCTAGCCTGGCAGGTGTAATGTGAAGGTGGTTGCAACAAAGCCTATCCCTGTGTAGACCAGGTGCTTTGGACCCAAGAGCTCAGAATGCTATCCGTTGCACTGACCTGGGAACGGAAGCCAGTGTGTCCCTGCTGACCGTACTAACTGGGGCAATGTTTCTCAACAGTTTCTAAGCAGTTCCCTGATTAGTACAGAGTCCTGTGGTGGTGTGTATGTAGGGGGAGAGTTGGAGCTTGCAGCTCTGATTGTTGTATCTGCATGGGGAACATGGGGCCCTGGGCTTCTCTCCTTTGTGCCTTACCCACATTTAAGGGTCTCCTATAGGTACCTTCCCATCTTGGTGAGTGCATCTCCCACCTCTGTTTCCTTCACTCCAAGTGTCTCCTGACACTTCTTTGATGATTTACAATGCTCTCTCCAAGAGGCATTTACTTATGACTTTCAACCCTCTCCTTCAGAGCCCCAAGCACAGACTGCTTCTAGTCTGCCTCACAATACCACATGAGTTTTTTGGAGCATTTTTTTTCTGATGCCTTTCCCCTTTCTGAAGTTTATGGTCAACCATTTACTATTAACATACTGTTCTTTTAATATACATATATATATATATATGTATGTATATATATATATATACATACATATATATATATATAGTGCTAATCATCTGTTTGAAAATATATAAGTATATATTTTCCTTGACATTTAGAAATTCTGGACAAAAATAACTCCTAGAATTATTGCATAAGGTGCCGTGGTGTCATGGACTCAAGTTTTCTGTTTTGTTGTTCTGTTGCATATAGATGGCAATTGCAAGGTACCTTGTGGTTAAATATGGCTACAGAAACTATGGGAGTTCCCACGTCTCCTATTGCATTCAGCTAGCATGTAAGAATGATATGGAAAATGTCAGGTGCCAGGACGCTGCCGCTTGCCGCCTCCCCATCCTCATCTCCACGGCCAGCGCTGGGTGTAGTCAGTTGGAGGGGACACTGCTGGGGCTAGGCCCTGCGGCAGAGAGCCTCCTGGGGCCCCTCGTGCCTCTGGGGCCCCGGCGTGCGGGAATGTCCCCAGGCCACAATGAGAGTGATGCTATTATGCTGAACTGTGAGGATTATTATCCATTTTCCATATGTTACATCCTCGATCTGTGTTTCTAATAATGTTTCCAATGCAAATCTCTCTTTCTTTCCACCACAAAAATTAGCACTTAAATGCCACTACATATGTCCGCTCGAATGCCTATAGCAGCAGCATATCTAGATCCAGGCAGACCCCAGTTATTGACTTGCAGAGAATATGTACAAAAGTTTTATTAATCACTTCTCCATCACAGTAGGACAGATGGTTTTTACCACCATTCTCCCAGTGGCTCTTGAATCAGTGCTGGGGGCGGGTCCCTGGGCTTTCTCCAGAGGGGAGGCAAATACATTTTCACAATGGAAACTGCTCAGCTGGTCTCCTCCCAAGCTACCAGGAAGACTCAGACTACTTGAGGTATGAGAATCTATCACAGGAATGAATTCCAGGAAATTTCACAAGCATCTTCATTAAGCCTCTACCCTTGTAGAAACTCTTCTTTGATTACCAGGCACTGTGCTAAATGGCTAAAAAATATTATTGTAAATCATTATAAATATCTTAGAAGAGAGAAACATTGTCATCTTCTTTTTACAGATGAAGATGTGATGATTCAGAGAGCAAATTTCCTAAATTTACATGGACAGTAAGGAATGGAACCAAGATTTAAAAGCATGGGCTCTTTATTCTGTTTGGCCCTATCCTACACATATCTTAAGGATTCTTACATACAGAAAACTAAACCAGTTATATAACGGAGTACTTTTCTCTAATAACACTTCTCAATTTTCTTTTGCATACAAACCTATCATTACATGTGAAATTATTATTGTTCACCTTCTTTCATGGGACCTGCTAGCCATTTATTACCAGTTATGTAAATAGTACTTCTTAGACCCATAATATATACTATATGGTACATAAATACATTTGTATTAAAAAAAAAAAACAGAAGAGTTTTTGGAGTTCCACAACATCATGAAATAGGGAAGTTGGATGGAATTTCAGCTATTATCTGGCAAGCTCTTTGCCTATCAGCTTGATAGTTTGCCTGGTCATCTCACTGACTTCTAGTAGATCCAAGGTCTTATCCATCCCACTTAACAGACTGTAGAGGAGAGTAGGGAAGTCCAAGAAGCTAGGATTTCAGGGTGCACCTAAAAGATTAGCTAGCCAGGACACCAGGCAGAATGCAGAAGAAATAAGAATTATCACCTTCTTTATCAGGATACTGGGGAGAATGAAGCCTGGATCCAAGAATCAGGATCAGGAATGGGAGAGGGGAGGCAGAGGTATGAGAATTATGGATTATCCTTATGAGTGACCCTAGAAAAAGATGATCACTTTATAAGCCAAGGCATCTCAAATGAAATGAGTTGAGAGGCCTTGCTTACAGAAACTGAGATCCAGCAGAACACACCAGCAAGCAGATTTTGCTGTGAACTCATTCAGCTAGCTCATGTTCCTTCCCAGACCTCAGTGTATGACAGGGTTAGCGAACAGACTTACTGTGTGACTTTGGACACATTATTATTTCACCCTCTGGGCTTCTTCCTTTATTTTGAAAATGAAGTGATCAGCCAGACCCATCTATCTATAAGATCCTTTCCAAACATATTATGCTATCAGCCCATTGTTTCATCACCAAAAGTTTTTTTCCTCATGTGTCACATTGAGAAATGCCTTCCAGGATGGGAAACCATTCATTCTACCCTGGAGAAACCCTCTTTGGAAAATCACTCATTCTGACTAAACTATGTCCTCTCTGTGCTCCATTAAAAAATGTAAGCACCATGAAGAGAGGTTGATTAATGGGTGCAAATACATACACAGTTATATAGAAGGAATAAGTTATAATGTTCAATATCAGAGCAGAGTGACTATAGTTACCAACATGTATTGTATAATTCAAACTAACTAGAGGAGAGGTCTTCAAATGTTCGCAACACATAGAAATGATAAATGCACCAGGTGATGGATACCCTAAATACCCTGACTTGATCATTAAATGCACATGATTTATGCATGTATCAAAATATCACATGTACCCCCAAAATAAATGAAAATAGTAAATTTTTTTTAATTTAAAATTTTTTTAATTTAAAAATCTAAACACCATTAGCTGAAATTAAAGTTGTTTGAACACACACCTTCAGCATACTGAATTTCTGAAGGAAACTGTTAGTAAATTTCTATAACTTTCCTACACATCCTCCACACCTGGACGATGTACTCAATGACAGCTCTGGCTGCTGACAGCGGCCGAATGTTTCCGACAGAAGGTGGCTGGGCTCTGCCACTGCGAGAGGATCTGAGAATCCAGCAGGCAGAGGGTCCAAATGCTCCTGGGACAATATTTTACAGCTTTTCTCAGTGGCTCGCACAGTGAAAGGAAACCTCTAGCATTTCATAGGATAAGACGGGAACATAATTACAGTGATTAAAACAACACGAGGCCCGACGACTGGGAAGATGGTGCCCATTCAGAATGAAAGGCTGCTAGCTAGAAAGGGTTAGGGAGGCAGTTTCCTTGAAAGACCTGAAAATGAGCAGCAGGGAAGAGAAAGGGATACGGGCTGTGCACAATAGCATATTCTTCTCTAAACCACCTAATTCTCCTGCTCAGTATTCATCACTGTCAGGCTCTGCAGAGCCCTCAATGGGGGCTTTATGTTGATCCTTATTATCTGCTCAGAGATAGAGGGCACGCCATGCAAATGAAGCCGAGCCCGAGATAGGCTGTTAAAATACTGCAATTTGTCAGCATTTAGATAAACAAATGAAGGGCATTTTGTTTGTGGGAGGTAGACCCCTGGGGAGCTTTCAGGGTATTTTGACACTTGTTGTGAGAAATATCTTAAAGGTCCCCACATTGGCTCTCTCCTTATCATTTAAAGGGAGGATAAAGAGTTGCTAATTTACTTATGACTAAAGATAGTTGGGAGACTGGAGGAATCTCTGCTTTCATCCATTGGTACTTGGGTGGTTGATTAATGTCCCTCTCATTAGTCTCAGCCTTCTGCTTACACAGCCTTTATGAGGAGGGAACTTCTAAGCCTCTAGGAGTGGTTTGTAGGAGAAAACATATTCTCTCTGTCTCTCTCTCACACACACACACACACATAAAACAGCTAATGAACATTTTAGTATAGTGAATCCTACGGCCAACCATAAAAATGTGGAATCATTCTTCTCACGCCAAGACGATGGTGAAATAAGGATTTTAAAACCTCTGTCTCAGAAGGAGCATTGCTTTGATTCTCCCAGTAACTGTGTGTTGTTGATTATAGAAAACTGAAATTACTGACGTTAATTGTCCCGTGCTTACCGGCTTTGCCCCTTCTGTCAGCTGGAAAGGAAAACGCGCTGGAGCAAGGCAGAGAGGAGGTGGACAATGCTGCCTTTGGTGATCTAGTCTATTCTCCAGTTTCTTAAAGGACTTTTAATGATGCTCTAGTGACAGCACCTTAGAAATCAGATCGAATCAATTGTAGCACAATTTCAAAAGCAAGATTATGTGACAATAGGGTCCCCATGCCCTCCTCGAGCACGCCCGGCCACGAGGCCGCCTGCCTGAGCTTATCCACAGCTGTTGCGCAGGCTAAAGCTGTCGGGCATCCACACCCCCGCCCCACCCAAAAGCCAAACCCTGGTGGCATGAGCTTCTCATCAATCTCCATTTCTCCCACAAAACCAGAGTCACTAAAATCTCATTTGTGCCTCTTGGCCACTCGAGCCCCTGCACAAACTTTTCTGTTCTTTGGAGGAGAATGATGTGGACTTAATTAAGGGTGGTAACTTATGTGTAAGGCTGTATTGACAGAGGAAATAGGGTGCAGATGTGGTGTGAAATGATGTCGAATTACCCTTGTGAAGAACACAGATCGGGGTGAGCGCCCATTATCTGAGGCCAAAAGAAGTTACTGGGCACTCAATTATCGCCGTCTTTGTCATGGCAGCACACCAGATGGTTACAACACTGAAGAGTTTTCTATTATTATAACATTTTCCTAGAGTGCCTTTTCTTCTTCTCCAATTCACCATAAGACGATTACCTTCTTATGGGGAGTTGATTGTTGGGAAGGGTGCTGGGGGGTCATGCACAGATTTAGCGGGGAGTGGCAGAGAAAGGGACAGCAGGCTGTGTCTTTAGCACAAGAGCCTGTCGATGGACTCTGCTGGGATTCAGGCCACCCCATAATAGCGCCTATGAAATGACTGCTTGGTCCCTCCCTCCCTGTGAATCCACCACTCCCCCTCTGCCCCCAAATCCAGAAAACACAGTGTTCATATATGACCGGCTGCTCTGCCTTCTGTCAAAGCATTTCCAGCCAAGTGAGCAGTTTTTCTTCTAAGGAACTGAGAGGTCCTCAATAACATTAATTCCCACTCATTGACAGCATCGAAGCGTCAGGTGAGGACAAAAGTAAACGAGCTTGTGAATATAGGGCTAGTCATTAACTCGGGGCACCCAACTCTATCATCTGCCTATCCCTCCCTGGCTCCAGAGAGGGGGGAAAATCAACAACTCCATGGCAAATAAATAAATAAAACTTCCCACCGTGGAAATCTCTGAAGCAGCAAGCCCAGACTTAATGCTTACGGAATTTGAAATGGTTGGAATGATCCCGGGACCCTGAAGAATCATCCCTAGAAAAGAAAAGACAAAATCGGGACATGTGGAAATCACGTCTCACTGCTTTGTTCATGGCTGCATTACTGTTTGGGAAAAGAAGTCAATGTTCAAGAAGTCTGGTGAATGCTTCTAGACATGGATTCCGGATGAATTGACTCCAGAACTTATAGGAGGATGGAACAATTCTTCTCCCCCCACCTTCCCCACCCCAGCCTATGCCCTGAGTTCCCATATTCTCTCTTGAACCCCTTTAAAAATGCCCCCTTTTCTAAGTAGAGTTATAACAACACCTAGAGATCTCAGATTCTAAGCTTAAAGGGCAAAGTACCCTCTCAACTACTCTCTGAAGTTAACTGTTGTTATGGTTGCGTCTGTTTGCTAAACATAACGATGGTGCTATGAGGAGCAATGCCTTTATGACTTTCCTGTTGTAAGACAAAAGCAGAGCCCTTAGTGGTGTCTGTTGGAAACCTGATCATGTGGTTTTCAAGGCTGGCACCCACATCCTACTTTGGGGTTAGCCAAATAAAACTGTATTTTGGTTTGGTACTGCTAGCACTGAGGAAATGATGGGTATGATCTCTGGTTCAGAGTTTATGTTTGCTTAAACTGTGGCCACCATGAGACACACGTCCATTTTCCGTGACTGAACAAAAGCCTCCCCTTCCTGCCCCCGCCCCTACTGCTTCCAAAGGGAACATTGGCTCCTCTCATCCTCGAAGGTATTTTCTTATTTAAAGCTACAGACTCCATAATGTTGTTGGCTTTCTCAAAGAAATGATCACATCAAAATGATGCCAAGTTATAGGCTAGAAGTCAACACTGAACACCCAAGGCTGTTTATTATCCACAAACACATAAAACCATGGACATGCATTGCATGGATCCAATTTCACCCTGGTCTTTCTTTCAATAAATGAAACAATCTGTACTAGCAAATAAAAAATCAAGTGGTGGTAACGTCTGGTTTTCTAAGCATTCACCAGAAAGATCCATTTTTCTCTAATAACAACCAACACCAAAAACAGTTCATCAGAAATCTCCAAACTTGATTTTGGTTGCAATTAGAAAAGAATGTATGTACATGACCTTAGGCTCAGTTACCACATGTTCATAACCAAATGCTCCTTTTACTTAATTCCAAAGAGGAATCTAAATATCTTTTAAATACCTTTTTGTGTGACATATACACAATCAACCTTTATAATCTATCAGAGAATGGGAGAAGTTGGTCCCAAAATGACAAAATTAAAGAAAAGTTAAAGATTGTTCTACTAGATAAATTTTTGAGATTAGAGCCTAAGATGCATGTCATTCTCTACTGTATAGTACCTATAATGTTTATTATACATAAAGGCAAGAGATTTTCAAAACTCTCAATGGAAGAAGAATGTCTTGTGCCACTGAACAAGTCCACGGTTTTCACTTTCCAAAAGTGATTATTGTCTTGGAGATTGTTCCTTGTCTTTATTTTCTAAATTCAGTAATCAGTAAAATAAAAAAAATTAAAAAAATAAAAACTGTTTGTTGTTGACACACGTTTGGAGCACAGTCCAGGGATATAAGGTGTGACAAAGCCATGATGTGACCACAGAGCAATGGGGAGCTTCTGCAGTGGCTAAAAAGCCCCCAGAAACTACTGGTAAGCCTACTAAGAATTCCCAAATACACTTCCTATATCTCAGATTGTTGAGCCATCCCTTTATCTTCAGTGACAGATCTTGGTAGCACAAATGAAGCAATGAAGGAAATGGCAGAGTGAGGACTGTGGCATTTTGGGAGTACACACCTTAGACAATTCTTGTCAACAGGACAATGTTTTAAAAGAGTCTGAGAATCTTGAACTTTATGCAAAATGTTTTGATTTTTAAACATTGGCATATAAAAAATGCTTTAGAAATATTGAATAAGTTAAATAAAAATAATTTTGAAAAACATTGGGGCTACCAGCTATGAGTTTATGATCTCAAGGTTGCATGGTTCCAACTATTCAGTGGAATATTTATTTCAGCCACTCCCTCTCACCTCAGTCACACAAGCAGATCAGAAGCAAAAGCAGTAAGTGAAGGAGCATTCACAGAGACTAGTGCTAGAGCTTGTAGCAGTATACAGGTCTTCTTCTCTGAAAAACTTTCAAGATGTGTTGTTTTAAAACAGAGAATGATTACATTTTCAGGTTAGCCCTAGCACAAGGCTTCATCATATCCCTACATTTAAAAAAATTTATTCTGTGTACCAACATGCCTCTATTTAACACATTGGGCTGCTTTCAATTTTTTTTTTTTTCTGAATAAGAACACCAGGGCTGTCATTTATCTATTAATAAAACCTGAAAATACAGTGTATATAAAATGACGTTATATTTTGAAGCAAAAATCAGTACACATGGTCAACCAGAGATTTCTTGTATCACTTCTGACTATGAAAGAATACCCTGGGAGAGTTCATCTGGATACTGACAATTTAAAGATTCTGGAGTGGTTTTATAGAAACAGCAGAGAGATTATTTGGAACCCAGGATCGTGGTGGCCAGATGTGGATGTGTTCACAGGAAGTTGATATTTTAGTTACGAATGTTTTGTAGAAACTGTTTTCCACATTTCCCCCTGTTAGATACTTTTTGTCTCCCAGTGTTTAGAGACCAGGACCAATTTTCTTTATAAAATTCCATTTCCTTCCCCTCTCCATCCCTATCACCAACCTGTATGTTTCCTGCTTTGAGTCTATAATGATTGCTATCAGGGGAAGAGAAGTTTTTATAGAGAATATGCTCTATCCCATTAGGGAGATAAAGGATTTGTCCCTGATAAACTAAAGGATGGAGAGAATTGGCCAACATCCCTTCTCAGTTCCTGTGCCTTCTGATAGACACTTCATTTCTTTATCTTCTTAGGTCTACCGGTTGCAGTTCCAAAGCATCTTCCAGTTTGGAGATCGAGTAATGAACTCCAGGCTACAGCCATCACCTTGGTTATTTTTTTCTAAGGACCGGTACACATATCCCAAATCTGTAGATACCCTTGACAAGAATTTTAAATGTAAATACTCTTTGCAGTTCCTTTTATTCCCTCACTCAGCAAACACTAATGATGTCCCTGTTATGCAGTAAGCATAGGACGGAGGGCAAGCTAGGTACAGCTCCTGACTTTATGAAATTTATAGCTTATGAGGAGAGCAGATGTTAACACATATATAACAAGTCATTAAAAATATATTTTAAAAAAATCACAAATAAAATTGCATTTGAGTTAAGTGCTAAAAGGAGAGGTGCTAAGGAATTTGATTTGGCTGGGAAAGTGAGAAAAATTTAATTTTTTAGTAGTAGCCATTGAGTTGAGATCTGAGGGATAAGTGAGAGGTAACTAAATAAAGAGGAGAAAATCTGAAGAGAGTGGGACACCAGACCATGTGGAAGACCTTGTGATGGAAAGGAGAACTAAGGCATAGGGGGAAAAAAGATCGGTATGGTTTATATAGAGGAAGAGAGAATTCACAATGCCCTGTGAGACCTGAGAGGTGGGTGGAGATGGTCTGTGTGGGCCCTAAATGTATGTTGTTTACCCAGAATGCAAGGGGAGGCCATGCATGCATTTGAAGGTGGTGGTGATGGGTCTACATTGAATTACCCCGAGGGGGTAGACTGGGAAGGAGTTGTTGGGGAGAGCCAAAATGGGTGTGGTTAGACCCATTTGGGGGAGTCTGCAGTTTTCCATAGAAAATGATAGCTTAGGTTAGAGTAGTGGTTATAGTTTTGGACAGAAGTGAACAAAACTGAGATTTATTAGCAAATTAAATTGGGATTGGTTTGAAGAAGGGAGAAAGCAGAGGGCTCAAGGGTGACTTGCATAATGGGATGAATGTTGGTGTCATGATCTGGGGTGTAAAGACCAGACGAATATCAAGTTATGAGATTGTGAGCTTGGTTTTGGACCAGTTGGATTTGGAGTGTCTTTGAGATATTTGATAGAAGTTAAGAAGTAGGAAGATGTTTAAAAGTTTAAGGATATGGGCTCAAAAATAGTGTGCCAAGAAGGAAAGATGGGTCACCAGTGGCAAACATTGGTGAGAACAGAAGAAAGATGATGATTAGGAAATAGTTTTTGGATGCAGTTAGGATAGGATGCCTTTGGCCATAATAACAAGAGATATTTTAATGGAATACTGGAGCCAAACACAAACTGGAATGAATTGGTAAATTGGTAATTGTCTCCATATATTTTCCAGTCCTTTTTCTTCTCATACAAGCACAGAAAGAACCATTTAAAGAAAATGTACCTGGTTTGGTTCTTTAGTAATTGTAGATTGGAACCAAAGGTCCATATCATTTGACAGACGATGGCCACAAACCGGCATTCAAATGTTTGCCCAACTCCAACTCGCCTGATTCTCCTCCTCCTACCACAATCTCCCTGCAGTGTATTAGAATGCAATACTGACTTTTAAAAATATTACATATGCATGGGAAATAAAATGAAGGGAATAATATACTTGATTTTCTTTTCACATAGTCTACTTGTCTTAAAATAACATTAAAACTTGGAACTCTGAATTTAGAAAGTGCTTAGAGACAAATATCTCTCCTTAGCTTATTAATATGCTTTCAAAGATATCTCAATTATCAAAAAGAAAGAGAAATAACTGTAATTCATATTGAAGACAGTCCAGTGAGTGGGTAAAATAAATGATACAAAAATTCGAAATGTCAGCATTAGAAATTGGTGAATTGTACAAATAGGAAGCTGGTCCAATGGCCAAAGTTATTATTTTCCAAATAATAACCAAAGCCTACAAATTTCTCCTTCTTCTTTTAGATCCACTTATCTAGGAACGGAAATGTTATTCAATCCATGGTCATTTAAACCATCAAATTAATTTTGATGGCTCAAGTACATTTTGGACGATTTAGGGAAAAGTACTTTAAGTCTTTCTTTTTATATACTGAAAGCCTCATTTTGTCAAAAGCAATTGAATCAAAAAGACAACATTTAAGCAAAAAAAAGTATAAGAGATTTCC